CATAGCATGGCTTACACTGTTTACATTTACCTATTGTTTACATTTGTCTATGTGATTGTATCGTTACTATTCCATTGCTACTAATCACTTTTCTATACGATCCACCTTTCACATCTACTGTGTGCATCCCAGCATTTCTCACATTTGATTCGTTCCCTCACATCCATCATCACTAACGTCTTCCAACTTTTACGTGTGGCCTCGGGAGCCGCTTGAGTATTTGAATTTAATCTTGGATGTCGTAGATTCTGTTGTCAAGCTGATCGAACCGATCATCACTGGAGTCTTGAGATATTGGAGCGTTCTCAATAGCATTGAGAGTGAACTTTCCACAGTCAAGTCTGACACCAATTTCCCAACCCCGGAGAGATGGAAGGATTGCTGTACCCGGAACGGGATCGAAGCAGCACCATGCTCGTGATGGCGGACATCACTACCACTGTGCTATCCGCCCCTACAAACGACACTTTATGGATTAACTACCCAACTTTCAGAATTCTTATGCGGCCTCAATAGTCTGGCGTTGAAACTTTGTACCAAGTCGAGCATTCTCTCTCCACCTGGTGATTATTCGCCTCGAACAGCTGACTAGAAAAATGATGTTCAACTGAGCTAATATAGCAATTATTGCCAGAATAATCACAATTTTAACTCATTATTTACTGCCTTCTCTTTTTTTAACGACAGAGTATACATTGTGAAATATAAGTTCAATGATGCTGAGACATTTGCAAAACTCCGGACCGCAGATGTATGCGGTGGGGAACAAACGCGCTATTGTCCTTTCCGTGGAGTAGCGCGTCCACCACCATACCACGCAGGACAATAGCTCCTTTGTTCCCCACCGTATACACATGCGGTTCGGAGTTTAGCTAATCTCTCAGCACCATTGAAGTTATTGTCAGAATAGTTGCTATTCATTCGCCTTATCGTATGTTCCTACAATAACCTCAATCGTCGTCCCTCACATCGCTTTGCAATCTTGCAAAATATAAATGTTTTCACTTCATTCTGAGAAATTCTGCTTGTCATAAACACCCTTTGTTATTCAAACCTTTTTATGCAATCGGAACTTCTTGTGTGTTCTTTCTGTTCCAAGTTGTCACACGCACGATAACACAAAAGGGCATGAAGTTGTTTGGGAAACCGTCCTCAGTCATCTGATCTAATCAAGAGTGAGCTGGATGCGGAAGTCGACGAATCTTTTCGGCAAAAGTTCCACACCCGTGCCAAAACACCGCCTCCTCCAAAAGACATTTAAACAGCCTCATAAGTTAGTACCAACCGCATTCGTCTCGCTAGGGACCACCTGTTCATCTTGTGTGATACTCCACGTAGTTAATCCAAGGTGTTAATGTACGTGTTCACTATTGTAAATTAACTTTGCTGTCATGTATTCTATCTGCATATCCTGTTTCACTACCCTATAGCAAAGCTACTAACCAGCCTTACCCTCACTTACTGATCATTATACCATATTGCAGCCCTTATTGTTAACCGATAATCACATATTGTCATTATTGAATTATTATTGTCATAAACGGCATAATTACACAAATACTACTTTGCGACAGCTACGAAAAAGTCCCGCGTGGTAACTTCCCACGAAATCGGGCATTCTACTCAAAGCTAGTGATCATTCAGTGCCGAGAACTGACCCGAAGACCTAATTTCCACTAGCAGCTGTCATAGCTAACCACTTTTTGGTGGATTAGCCTAACCACTTTAGCATTAGCACCAAGATGATACTGCTGGTGTCTCAATCCCACACCATTCCCACCCTCAGCTATTAATAACCAACATATCGAACTTTCCCATTCTTACGATCAGCCAATGACGATTGATTCAACTGTTGAGGAAACTGTATTTGAATGCTACATTAATGCCCCCATTAAAGATCTAACCCACTGATCTCCCTCATAGAGAGAACTCAAGCCGACCAGCCGCGATGCAGTGGTACGTCCTCAAATGGCGGATAGGAGTTAACCACTGACGAAAAGCGACCTTTGTCTCCCTGATATGCATGCGGGTCCAAGGGATGCACTCCCTGTTTCTGTGGCGCCGATTTGGCACAAACCTTCCGTATTTACATGGATGTATTCATGCTTGTGGTATTGAGTTTGTGCTCGTTTATTCATCGTTCATGTTTTCGTCTGTTTTTCAAGAGTCAATTCAGCCGAAAACCTGCAATCAAAAAACAGGAAATATTTGGTGGGGAGGGCCTCCAATAAATAAACCCTTCGTCTACTTTGATAGAGAATGATAAGCCACTCATTAGTATACCCAACTCTACATTAAGAGTTCAGCAAGCTGTACGCTGGTATCAAGCTCTAGACATAAAGAAATAAGTGGCCCCATTCTCTTAAAACCGAAAGAGCGACGATACGGCAGCGTTGGCCAGGACGAGCACGGATACTTGCTGAAATCTCAGGGCTATTTTAGCCTGCCTAAACTTCGAAGATCTGCATCTAAAATGCACGCTCACTTCCATCTGACTCCTCAATTGAGAACTTAATGATATAGCCAAAAAAGGCAAGGTACGACGTCATAGGACTGGCCTAGACAAGAAGATGCTGCCCATTAGACGCCATCTATGACACGGCAGAAGAACTCTTCCTCGGAACATGCGGCAGTAGAGGAGCTGGACGCGTTGGCTTTCCTGTCAACACGACGTTGGATATGAACGTCGATATATTCAACCAACTAATAACCTAAATCGGGCGCTTACGATTGAAAAGATTTGGATTAATACCAGTTTCGACAATTTTTCTCGTTTACGCATTAACAAGAAGCGATGATGAAGACGAAGAAATTGAAGCGTTGTATATCGACTTCGAGAAGTTCTACATAGAAGACCATACATTTTTTAAAATCGTCATCGGAGAGCTTTTCCAAAGGTCCTTTTAAGTGTTTCATTTATCCTTATCTCAATTTCGTTCGTGCCCGTTTAGTCAACTAACCATCATCAGATTATGTATGCTGTGCTGCAGTTATTGCTATAAACAGTTATAACATAAGCTCGAGATTGCCCTCAGCGCCTACTTCAAAATGTCCCGCGTGACAAACTCGTACGAAGTCGAGCATCCTAGTTCAAGTTAGAAATTACTCTGTGCAGAAGACTGACTAGAAGTCTCATATTCCACGGCAACAACTAATACATTTGGGAGGGCACAAGCAAGATTTAGCTCTCTCGCCAGTGCACTGGGTTCCCATAACCGGCAGGAGGAGCAGGATGAGCATCACACTTTTAGTGCGACAACTTTGTTTAAACTATTTCTGCCTCGGCTAGTAGCGAGACTACGTGGCGCGTCCCCAGGTGGTGGATAGGGGGTTAATCGCGGACCAAAAGCGACTTCTGCTTCCTTGAGACACAGGTCGATCGAGGGCATGGACCCTGTTTCTGCTGCGCTGATTTGGCACATACTAGGCGTATTCATGCATGCGTGTGTGGGCGCGTTCATGCTTATGCGGATTGTATTCTACGAGTCAATTCGCCTAAAGGCCTGAAATCAAGTGAATGGGAAGTATATGGGAGGCGGTTAGGAGTTGCCTCCAACAAATAATCTCCATGTCCACTCTGGGAGAGCCTGGCAAGCTACCCGTGAGTATACCCAGCCCCCGCGTTCAGAGCCCAGCAAGCTATACGTAGGTATCGAAGAGGCTAAACACAGTAAAAAAAAAAACCGGACCTCATTCCACTGACTCCGAAAGAGCCCCCCAATTTCGCAGCGTTGGGTAGCACGAGTACGGATAGGCTGCTAAAATCTCAGGGCCAATGGAATCCGCTTGGATTTCAAAAAACTACGGTGAAGATCTGTACCTACAATGCATGTTCACTTGCATCCGAGTCCTCGATAGAAAACTTGCCCATGCAAACAAGAATGATAAAGAACGACGCCATCGGCCTGGCCGAGACGAGAAAACGCCAACCTTTCAACGCCGTCTATGACACCGCCGGAGAAGAACGGTTCCTCGGAACATGCGACAGTAGAGGAGTCGGCGGCGTCGGCGTTCTCGTCAACACGAGTTTGTCCATGAACATCGATTCATTCGAACAACATACAACCCGAATCGGTCGTTTACGGTTAAAAAGACGTGAATCAATTCCGGCTTTGACAATCTCCGTCGTTTACGCCCCGACATCAAACTATGACGAAGAAAAAGTTGAAGCGTTCTATATAGACTTGGAGAAGTTCTACAGAGAAGACCACACATTCTTCAAAGGTTATCATTGGAGATTTCAACATCAAGATTGGACCTAGAAGAACGTTTGAACAGCGTCATATTGGGACCGACGAGTCGAAATGGAATGAGCACAGTGAGCGGCTGTTTGATTTTATTAATGACTACGAAGACCATCCATGATAAATCGCACTTCCACAAGCCCACCTCCAACGCTGGATGTGGCAATCTCCCAATGGAGAGTACCATAACGATATAGTCACATAATGTTAAATCAAAGGATTTGCATTGCCGATGCCGTTGTTGTCCCAAAATTCTACACGGGATCAGATCTGCCCTTCCTTCGTGCAAGATTTTATTTCTCGCGAAAAGAAGGGAAAGCCGCTAAATTCAAAAAGCGAGGTCCTAAAACCAGAATAAACTGGGATTTATTCAACTTGACGTTAAAATAGGGGTTAGGTAAGGCGATATGATCTCAGCAGAAACACTTGCCGCCACCCTTGAGAACGTGATACGGGCATTGGAATGGGCAAATATAGGAGTGAAAATTGATGGTCGGAAATTACACCATCTTTACTTTGATGGTGATATCGCCCTCATAACCGAAACCTTACCCAAGCAGAATCAACACTTACCGACTTAGATAAAACCTGTGGAATGAAACCCTTGAGAATGTGATGTTTCACTGTAACGATTTTTTAGAAAATCATGATCAAGACCTATTGGTTCAATAGAACATTAATATTGTCGTTGGCAGTAAAAATCAACGAAAAATGAGAACAACAACAACAACAACAACGACAATACAAAAAAAAAAGTTAGTAAAGTATGACTTCAAGATGGCGATTGAAGTATCCTCCATTGTGTTGTTTTTGTAACTTTGATATTGACTGCACCAATGAACAGACAGACTGCTCAACCTAAGAAAACAAAATACTGGATCTTAAGAGGCATAGAAACGGATGCTAACTGGTACTAGAATTTATCAAAAATTGAGAAAAAAGAAAGAAACAGCGTTTATATCTGTGTGCTGTTTATAAACTAAATACTTCACATTTTCTCTTGAAGGAAGAAAGATGTCATAGAAACAAGAACTTATTCGCTGCAATCCTCAAACGCAAAAGAAAGTGGATGTCTCCGCCAGCAAAGGGAAAACGGAGCAGGCATGTATAATATCTACGAAAGTATCCGAAATTCTCAGCAGTGACTTACAGTGAGTTCAGCTATTCGTCCACCCTTATTTCCCATATCGGTTTGCACCCAACCAGGACAAAACTGAGCGACAAGGATTTTATCCTTGGCAAGGTCGATAGCCATTGTCTTACCTAACTGATTCAAGCCAGACTGAAAAGTTTCGCATGACAAAATCCACTTGTTCAACAATCTGACAATAATTGTCTACAATTACGCCAACAAAACTGTTTCGAAGACTTACTTTACTGATCTTATAAGCTAAGAAACCGAGCACGCCGGACCCATCTTCGTTCATTCCAACAGACGCAGTTACACTGGAGATATTTACGATTGCAGCACGATCGACACCAAGATGATCACCTGTTCCATGAGATGATGCCTTGCGCAACAGAGGTAAAAAGGTCTGAAAAAACATAAAAGCATTAACTGGCCATTTAAAAGAGTTACAAAACAAGAACGAAATGTTTTAAGACATAAATGAAGAATACCTTAAACATCACAATTATGCAATAAGGTTTTGTAATGACAAGAAATTTATCCGTTACTCCGAAATGAGCACCTGACAAGTAATAGCCGCTCCTATTGTATTAACATTGACACAGTCCAAAAGTGTTTGTCGATCAATAGCTCCATTGGTGAAATATGGTGGAAAAATGGCTGCATTGTTTAGTAAGAGATTCAACCCGGCCTCTCCAACTGATTTCTCTACCTAAAAATGGTTCAGTCAGCATGAATTGTTGGACGATATACTTAAGAGTGTTAACTATGGTAGCAGGAAGGTTATTATATAATTCGCTCATACCAAGAATTTGATCAAAACGCCTTCACAGAAAACTTATAAAACAACCGTTCCTTTAACAAAAAAAGAGAGGCCTTAGTCATTAAAGTGAAATGCTTGCACAGAGCGATAGACACTAGTTATCCAAAGTACCACGCACTAGAAGACCAGGAACCCATTTATTTCCCTGTTCTTCAGTAAACCAAACAGAACCAGCAAAACACCACGACCTACATAGAAAACAAACATACACGGTGCAGAATATCATCATGAAACGTCCAGTGTAACCCAAGGAAACAGAAACGAACCTCTGCATAGGCCTCTTTGATTGACTGGTCACATGTCACATCCATTCTGACGATTTTTAGCCGACTATCGGTGATGGCATTCAAACCCTAAAAGGTGTTAAGGTAACAGTATACAATCACCTTTGATATATTTTGCCTTTATTCACATGAACAACGTTCTTACAAGGTACTCACTACGTCTAATTGAATGTTCATTGCTACAGTTTACAAACTAACTTCAACTCCTGAGTAAAAATGTCATTTAGCAAGACTCCGGTCTTAATCCGAATACTACAACTAGCGTTAATATGTTCCCAAACAATTTTGTAAATGTAAATGTAGAGGCTTTCACAAGAAAAGATTGATGTATTACGAATTTAGCAGCTGTTCCAATCCACTTACTTAAATACGTGGACGACTCAACCCCACATGTCGAACGTATCCCAATAATTCTTCCATTCGTTTCACAGTTTTGGCACCGTTATTTATGAAAGTGGTTGCATTCGAATATGGATTCATATGCACATTCAGAATATGTGGACTTCTCTAGTTTTCGAGATGCTGATTGAAAGCCGAAAGTGATCTCCTCTAGGAAACTCGCGTTAGCCATGTGATAAGCCTAATCACAGTTTAAAAGATGTCCTATAAGATGTTTCATTACGGTCCTTACCCCACAGTAATGACGTTTCTAGCACTCCTGTCACCCAAAAATCCAAGCACAAGAAGAAGATAGCACACAGCATCAAGAGAACGACAGATTCGATGAAGACCAGATAATGGATCAAAATACTTTTAAAAACACTCTGGAACTCCAGTTTCACTTCAATAACTCATTTATGCTACTTCCTCTCCACAAAAAAAGAATGCAAAGTCGAAAAGAAAAAGAAACCAAACCTTCGCGTTGTCTGGGTTCAGTGCTCCAGCTAGTACTAGTTTTACAGAAGAAACTTTGAGGAACTCCTTAACCAAGCCAAGACCAATACCTCTGTCTGTTCCTGTGACTAGAACGGATGCCGGATAAGCCATCTAAATAGAAACGTTTAACAATAACACATAAGCAACAATTCGTAGCACTTATAATCCACGTATTTTCGCTACTAATAATATGCCATCATTTTAATCCACTGCCATCCTAACTGTCTCCTTCGGAGCATAATTTCATTGTCATACTTTCAGTACTTGTCAGATAGCATACTCATTGAAGGCTGTTGTGCTGCTAGTGCCAAGAGAAACCAATCTTTGCAAAAAACTTCTCTTGACAAGCTTGTATGTTCCGTGGAGAGAGTTTTGTTGGGGAAGAAAATGGTAACAGAGACATTTCTGCCGTAACTACACATGCTCACAACAAGTGCACTTCACCAGTCGGCTTTCACACCGTGCTAACGGAAGAACTTCCCAATGTATTCTTTAAATACCATGTTGGTGTTGCAAAGAACGTTCTATTGCGGAACCTCCTACCGCAATGTACAATTTTTACAAATGAGGCGCCTACAAAGCATCATCTTTATGGTCATTACCGCAACACTAAGAACACAAGTGCTTCCTACATCCAACGCTCCTAGTAGAAACCTCTTTTAAGGTTTTAAAGAGTCTCTCGTCTCTCTTCTCTCGTTCAAAGAATTGCCCATAAGCTTCACAACCGCCATTTCAAATATCCAACTCTAAAGTTGTGTCTGTCGACAAATACCTTGTTCTATTTGTGCGGAATATGACGCTTCTCTAGAGGTGCGCATAGCGCAGTGGTCGGAGGCGCCCCTCACTACACGTGGGATCGATTCCTGCACACAGGCCCACTAAGCCCTACATCCCACCGGAATCGCCAAACTAGTACTACACTTGTATGGGAGGATAACAGCATTGGTCCGATACATCGGTAGGCCACCGCGAGTCATTTTGGCAGTAGTGTTATATCTGGAAAATATCAGTCTTCCAAAGTCCCATGTCAAATCGGAACCAATTGTTACCAAGATCGAAAGAAAGCAACTATCATTGTCCTTATAACCCACCGCTTTAAATTGCTCCGAATGACATAGCGAAAAATCAACCATCTACCCATGACACCTTCGGCAATAATTTTTTAAAGACACAGGTGATTGGTGACACATTCAAAAGGGAACAAACCCCGTCAAGCGGTATGAGAAGCCGAGAAACGATGTCATAACGGTAGAATTCAAACTAGAAAGTTATTCATTTTTCAATAGATTATCAATAGATAAACAGCCACTCTGCATAAAAGGGCCCCGCCGAGTGAAGAAACTTCATTTTAGAGGTGTTCTACTCTATCGAATTCGAGTCGATGCCACAACGTGGCCTTGGCATCGCGAGACTGAACGACTGTGGACCATCGACTCGAATCAATCTGACCTTGACGGAGACAAAGCTGTCATGAAGTTAACCGAATGAAATTTTGTAACAAACGCGTGTTAGCTTAACAATCTGACAAAGTATTAAGAGGTTATAAGTTGAACGTTCTCCACGAGGAGTTCACTCAACTACTAAGCGGGCTGATTTACAAAATGACATTCAAACACGTCACGGTACATGGAACAGCACAACATTGGATAGTGATAACAAAAGCACGAAGTGTGTTGCAAATGTTTCAGGATCAAGCCACACAACTATGCAAAAAAGTTATTATAGTTTAATAGTCCATGTTTTCCATGAAACGTTTCCTCATAATCATGAACTGCACCAACAAAACAACACAACGTAAAAAAAAAAAACAAACACCAACAATCCCTTAAATGATGTTAGTTATGGAGATCTCACCATCATTTTGAAATTTATACTCTTTCTTGTCCCAAAACACGAAACACTGTATCACCTTCGCACTTTCAGGATTCCTTGCTCCGGCTATTACAAGTCTTACAGAAGAGGCCTTGAGGAATTCCTTCACCAGGCCAATGCCAGTACCTCTATTTGCTCCTGTGATGAAGACTGATGCTGGATAAGTCATCTAAAAAAGCAAAGAGAAATAGAGGAATTTGCCACTACCACACTTACAACAATTCGTACTGATTTCAACGTACGTATATTCGCGACAATGCTTACTTGGATACTTGAACAGCCCATCCTCACTGGCTGTGCGGGCCCCAATATAACCTCCATTTTCCAGAGTTTTGCTGGTTTGGCTATTGTGCTTCGTTGGAGTCCCGAGGCCAGCCTAGCCAAAGTCTGTCCCAGGTCGTCACCATCACTGCCAGTCACCACCGCCTTTCTGACTGAGGGGGAGATTTGCCATCATGCCACTAGTCCCGCATCAGGACGGCGACGAATCCTGGCATTGGTTCACTCCTAGGTGGTTTCCTGACGGAAACGCAGAACTCCTGCTCAGCTTGGGATACCCTGACAGGGTGATGAATTACCCGTTGTGCATCGTAGTCCAACATCCAAGAACACCTCCTAGCCACGATGTGGCGGTAAACTCTTGGGAGGGCGACCAAAACACGAAACCAAAAAGGCGTCGTCATCTTTTTCAGGAGAAATTGTAATACAACAGACAATGCACAGTTAGCTCAACGAAGTACTAGATGTAGTCGCGAATACGTTCATTTCATCACCTAGTAGAAGAAGAAAACACGAACACAAAGCACATTACGACATCCAACGTTGAACAACACTTTAGCAAAATTTACGGTTGATAAACTCAAGAAACATGTAAAGACTGCTTATGCAAAACTTTAGTCATCCATCTGTACATAAATCCCTTCATATGAGGCCGATGCAGTGGTGAACTTGAGATGATCAAAAACAGCAGAAGAACACAGCAACAGTACAGATAACACAATCGTAATGAAACAAGAACACTGACATGATACATTCGAAAATTACATGCGAATTGAATGGATAACTTTTAAGGGAACATCTTCAGCCGTCGAACTTGTAGTCCCGCATTAATCTTCAATGACATCTCCTTTAGCTCCAAGCCGTTGTGGATCTTGACTTGGGTAGTAAATACAGTTAGCACGATTATTACTACCGGTACCATCCTTTGCAGGAGGGACAGATGAGGAAAGTGCTAAAGAGAATATTCGCATAAACACCGTAAAAGCAAAATCAAAAAAATACGACTAAAGGACACAAACCTGCCGGAGGGCGTGTTGGAGGAACAACAAGCTTAGCTGGAGGGGCAAACGATAGAGGCACAGGTGGGAGAGGGATGTTAAGGGGGTCCATACGTTGACGTTTCGAATTGCTCGGAACCAAATCATCAGGGGCTGAGCATGCTTAAAAAGTGCAAAATTAAAGGTGTTAAAGCAAGTCATGTAACGTAATGGATAATAGAACTAGACAAAACCTTCGTTAAATTAAAAGTTTCCATTCAGCCTTCTCTACATATTAGTTCAAGAAAAATGGCAGCAGAAAAGGAAAAGCAAACAACTAACGATTTGGAAGAGACGGCACTGGATTGATGTTGCGTTGCTCATCACCCATTTTCTGGGCTTGTGGTTGCCCCTATCGAATTACAAGACGGCGTCCCTAAACTCAATCACTTTCTTCATAGATTTTACAGAAAGAAAAGATCAGAAGAACATGAGGATCAATATCATGCTCGCTTAACATTTTCCGCCTATTTACTTGTTAACCTTTTTTTAGCCACATGATAATAGAAAAAAATATGGTCCTCACAAAACCATAAACAGACTCGCCTTCAAGAACAATTTATTGAAAGACTTCTCTGCTGCCATCTCACATGCTTCCCTCGTAGTGAACTGTATGAAAGCACAAGATTTCGCCTCCAACAGCCGCAAACTACGAATGTCGCCGAACTGATAGAAGTAATCACTAAAATCTAATATAATTAACGGAAGCACATGTGGTATTAACAAATCCGGCCTAATTTACAAATACCGGACTTCAAATCTTTTTGTGTAATTTGTCCAGCTGGTCCAAGGTTACCCACATACGAAGTCGTTATAGTAGTATCTGCCGATGGTTCCAACGCTGGCATCGCCTATGATAGTCATATAAATGTAAATACTATACAAATGATGGGAAAAGCGTGTACAAAGTTAGTGCAGAAGTCAAAAAAAGAGCATAGTTGAAAGAAGTAAAAGGTCTTAAATTAAAAAACTAATCTCTTAGATACAAAAATTAAAGAATAAAAATGTGTGCATTTACCTTGGCTCTGTTGATAAACTTTTCCGCAACCGGATCATTACTTCCATAATACCTATCATTGATATTTTGAGTGGACAGTGGATCATCGGGATCTGACGGTTTTTCATGACTGAAAATCACAGTCGAATTACTATTTCATGAAAACTGCTGCAAGAAACATCCAGGCCGAAATAAGCATATCGATAAGGACACTCCTCTCCTCTCTTACATTCTCCCTTTACGTACAAGGAATAAATGTGTGGCGCGTTACGCTTGTAATATGGGGCTGTGCGCGCAAGACGTTTCAGCATCTCAGTTCCGGCAGATTCGCCTACATTTGCAAGTGCGCCAATAGGTGTGGTACCGTCAGTATTCGCAAATGCCCTAAAGCTTTAGCATTAGCAGCTTTAGGAAATACCCAGCGTAAGATCCAACATTCCTCACTTACCTTTCGGCATTTTGAAGAAAAAAAATCTCGCTCAGCACCTTGACGAGGAAGATTATCGGCTATTTGTAGAGCTGCATCACGAACTCTCATCTCTCTTCCCTCGTTCAAAGAATTGTCCATAAGCTTCACAACCGCCATTTCAAATATCCAACTCTAAAGGTGTGTCTGTCGACAAATACCTCGTTCCATTTGTGCGAAATATGACGCTTCTCTAGAGGTGCGCGTAGCGCAATGGTCAGAGGCGCCCTTCAATACACGTGGGATCGATTCCTGCACACAGGCCCACTAAGCCCTACATCCCTCCGGAATCGCCAAACTAGTACTACACTTGTATGGGAGGATAACAGCATTGGTCCGATACATCGGTAGGCCACCGTGAGTCATTGTAAAGACCAGATATGAATCGAGTCACATCCGAGAATGCTTAATGAATTCGAATGCATAGTGCATCCTTTAGGGACAGATTAGCGCCAACAGCTTTGTCCTTTATCATTCTACAACGCTTCTCTTAAGAATACGGTGGACCCATCTATGGACACGTATTGACCAGTACTACATATTCTCTTCCAATTCCAAATAACAAGTTGTGTAACTGGCCCGATATTATAACATTATGTCTGGTCTACTACAGAATACATTGTCTGTAAAAATGAAGGAACCAACTGATTTTTCAAACTTCATTCATTGCCCAAGTACGGGTCCAACACAACGTTTTACAGATATCCAGCCATAATATCAGTGATTCTTCAACGGTTAACGTAAAACAGTTCTTATCTAAAAGTACAAACCAACGGGACTTTTCATTTATTCCATAGATGACGGTCGGTTCCCACTACTATTCTGCGAGTTCGCACTGTTACTGTATTCACCGGTGGCGCAGTGGTTGTTGGCACCACTGCGACACACCCGTGGAATCGATCCCCCGCGCCCATGGTCCACTAGGCCTTCCATCCTTTTGTGTTCGGCAAATTGGTACCAGACTTGTCTGTGAGGATAGCAGCACTGGCTCGATACATCGGAAGGCCACCGCGAGTTATTGTAAAGGCCAGATATGCATTCAGTCACCTCCAACGATACTTAATGAAGTCGAATGCATGGCGCATCTCTCAGGGATTGATCAACTTCGAGAGCTTTATCCTTTATCCTTTTCAATTCACCTTTCAACAACAAACAATTCAAAAATTGTTTAACCACTCACTTCCGACTTCATGATGGTCGTCTTCATCATCAACACTTTTGTTCACTTTTCATTCGACCGAAAATGATCTACAATTCGTTCTTCAACAACATGATCCAGGCGTATGAAATACAAGTCTTTACCATTGACTGATTCTGCTTTCTTTTCCAATCCTTCCCAATGACGAATCGTGGTTATCGTATAGATCGGGAGAAAAAAAAAAGTTGAAAGAACGTCGAAAGATATCATAGAAGACCAATAGCACCATGGCTGGATAGTGGACGAGTTTCCCTTTCCGACACACACAATGAAGGCAACGCAAAGACAAAAGATGGGAAAGTACGAAGAACAAAAAAGATATGTAGGATTTAAGAGAAAGAACTGAAAAGGAGAGATGAGAAGCACATGAAAAAGCAGAATGGTCCAGCTCAAAGGCGAAGACAAAACGATGTGGTCGTGTTTTTTAGGGGAAGTGAGAGAAAGGCGGACAACGCGCCGGCAAAGCAGCGAATATCACGCGTAGTAGGCGTAGAAGTGCAAGAAGAAAGCGAGCACCCATCACATCACGATTCTCCACTTTAAACGAAGCAGCTTTACGAAAACTATTGGTGGATAAAGCAAAGAGGCAGCAAAATTCCTTTAGCAATAACTCCAAAGACTGACTTTCCATAAAACTCGGCATAAACAATCGATAAATCTGCTTATATGTTCTTATGAACTGCCTTTCTTGAGCTGATGCTAGGTTGGTATAAGCTGTCGCTGTTATTGTTGGTCGATGGTCAATGGCTGACGTTTCGAGGACTCGAGAATCCCACTCGTAACAGCGCGGCTTTGAAGGAGGCAAAATCGCCCAAACATCAGCCATCGACCAGCAACAACAACAACTAAAACTTATCCCAACCATGCTTTAACAATAGTTTCAGCCATCCATCTGTACATGAAGCCCATCGTATGAGGCTGAAGTAACGGTGAACTTGGGACGGTTAAGAAAAACAGAACAGCACAGCAACAGAATATATCCTAAAAGCGAGATTATTCAGTCACCAAGCTAACACTTCAGTCCTGTGCTAATCCCCAATGAGATCTCGTTTAACGCTAAGCTGCTGCGGATCTTGATTAACTTGGGTACTTGGATAGCCCGTTCACACTGCTTGTGCGGGCAAGCAAATTTCCATTTTTTCGGATTTTTTCTGGTTTAGCCACTGTGGTTCGTTGAAGTACCGATGGCAGATAGACCAAAGTCTTCCCTAGGTCATCACCACCACAGCCAGTCGCGACCCTTGTGGATCAGAGGGGGATTTGTCACCATGCGACTAGCTTGGTACCAAGACGGTGACGAATCCTGGCATTACCACTCTAAGCTTGGCTTCATGATGGAAGTGCCAGATTCCTACTCAGCTTGGAGACCCGGCCAGGAGGACGAATTCTCCGCTGTACATCGTAGCTCCACGCTCACGAACCCCTACCAGTCACGATGAGGCGGTAAACCGTTGGGAGGGCACATAACATAGTCATAGTGGAAGTTGCATGCGACTTCAATAATTGTATGTTACAAGCGTGCTTTTTCAGTCACATAGCTAACGCCTAATTTTACACTAATGCTTAATGGCATCTCGTTTAGCGCCAACTTGCTATGGATCTTGACTTGAATATGAGATACAAGCTGCACCACTATTTCTACCGGTACGATCTTTTACAGAAGGGGCATATGAGAGTACTTACCAAGAAGAATTCTCCCCAGGAGTCTCGACGTATTCGTACTAACAGTGTCCCAATTAAGCGCACAGATAGTAGCCGGTTCCTGCAATGGGTGTGTGATTGGCCACCATGTTTCTTGCTCCTAACGATAAAATTGTGTTAACTTACTTTTATTTGGGCTTCCGAATGAAAACTTCAAGTGCGACTTTAAAAGAACGTAGTGATAGGTGAGGAGCTTTAGGCGCTCCGCAGTACTCACGGGGTCATATGTTCGATTGCCGAATCTAGGCTCGCTAAGGTCCTCATCCCTCCGAGATCGGCAACATTGGTATAATACTTGTCTGAAAGGACATCGAAACCGACTTAGTACATCGGTACGCCACCGAAAGTCATTGAATAGGCCAGATATGCACTTAGCTATACCTAACCATGTTTGGTAGTCTAATGCATGACGCATCCCTAGGAGATTGATCTCACCGAGAACATTGTCCTTCCTAATGACGCGAAAGCGATAGGCTAATAAGAAGACCTATGAAATTTTGTTCATATTTTAGGAGAAAAAATGATGAACTTCATTTAAAACCACGGCCGCCGTTGAAAAATTCTCACAATCAAACTTCAGTAAAATATCAATGCCATAAGCATTGTATTGCCAGCATAGCTGACTTGGGCGCTTCTGTTCTCAGCCAATACCGCTGTTCTCTTCCTGGTGTCGTTGTTAATACCTCAAACTTGGGCAGTTACATTTCATATATAATAGTACAACAATAGCAATACAGCGATATCAATAGGCAAAGATAATATATTTGGGGGTATATCAATCAAGGCAAGAGAATGAAAAACTGTTACTGCGCCGTTGCATCGATGTTGCAGAGGAAAGCTTGTAAGGTAAGAGAATGAAAAACTGTTACAGCGCTGTTGCATCAACGTGTCAGAGAGAAACAGAAAACAAAAGGTTAATGATGAACATCGCAATGCATCCATTGCTGCACCTGGTACTGGATGTGGATGGACTAGATCGCAGTAGCTCTGGAACCCATTTCCAATCTGAATTAAGTAGTACCGGTTTTCACACGTTGCCTGTCAGAATATGAAGGGCTTAAACAGAAAGAAATGAGCTGGATATTCAAGAAGTCGTTTATTGAATCGAACAATCCAGAAGAACATAAAGCCAAGAAACAAACGCAAAGTGTAACAATGTAGTGCGCACAGCATTCCGATGAAGTGTGACATGTACTGGTGATTATTTCAGTACTAGTATTGAAATGCTGCTCGGACGCAAGCACAGAAGTACTTTCGCCTATTGCGTCATAGGATAAGGACCCATTAGCTGTTGGGTTTGATGATTTCCGGCAATTTGCGTTTCACTTTTATATCATGGCTTCTTCCTACTTCTTCCTTTTCTTTTTTTTATTACTCGTTATAAAAGCGTTTATTGGATTTTTGTTGTGACAACTATAAATGTAAACTAGGTCATTACTTTCAGGATTTGTTTCTAAGCATGTAAATACTACTAAGATTCCATTGATTGATTTGATAGCGCAAGAGGTCCATCTAATGCGTTTTTTCTGCTTAATGCGATCATTTCTAGGTAAAGTAAGAGAATAACAAAATTTCGAAAGACAGCCGTGTTCTCAACACCTTTTCATAACAGATTTTTACGTCTTCACTGCCTTTACTTGTAGCACATGAATAAGACGGCACTTCAACAAGAACGCGCCGAAACCACGAAAAAGAAGTAAAAATAATAAAGTGATTTGCATCAAGCTCGATAAAAATGCATGCCATAAAAAAGACGGCTGTTTTAAGCAGGACTCATCGAAACACTGACTAGAAGTCTCATATTCCACGGCAACAACTAATACATTTGGGAGGGCACAAGCAAGATTTAGCTCTCTCGCCAGTGCACTGGGTTCCCATAACCGGCAGGAGGGAGCAGGATGAGCATCACACTTTTAGTGCGACAACTTTGTTTAAACTATTTCTGCCTCGGCTAGTAGCGAGGCTACGTGGCGCGTCCCCAGGTGGTGGATAGGGGGTTAATCGCGGACCAAAAGCGACTTCTGCTTCCTTGAGACACAGGTCGATCGAGGGCATGGACCCTGTTTCTGCTGCGCTGATTTGGCACATAATATCAATGCCATAAGCATTGTATTGCCAGCATAGCTGACTTGGGCGCTTCTGTTCTCAGCCAATACCGCTGTTCTCTTCCTGGTGTCGTTGTTAATATCTCAAACTTGGGCAGTTACATTTCATATATAAT